TTTCCTCGGCAAAGGAGGCTGGGCAGCCTGCTGCGAGGCTTGCCACGGTCAGGGTAAGCTTCCCTGTGTCGTGGGTAGCCCAAGTCCAGCTGCTGCATCCCTCCTGGGACACACACCCTTTCCAAGCAGACCAGAGGGATGGGGGTGGTGCAGGAGGAGAGGGTTTGATCCGAACCCCCTCCCAGCAGGCTATTAGTTCTGACTGGTTCTGCCCACTTAACTCAATGCTGACACACACCCGTTCTCCTTCCCACAGTTTCAGAGTTTGCAGCTGGAGCGGGAGATGTGTTTGGCTTCAAACTGCACCCTGGCCAGGGTGAACCTGTCCCTGCGCCCACGGCTTGAGGATGGGAAGGCTTCCTTAGCCATCAAGTACCAGGAGCTGCGGGAGATACAAGAGGCATGTTGGGACAAGCAGCAGCGCCTGGGTGAGTGGGGCAGAGTCCAGCATGGCCAGAGTTACCATGTAAATACGAGGGTCTGGGTGGGCTGGGCATCCTTGAACCTGCACCAGGGAAACGGCCCTGCCGTGATCAGGAGCAGTGGGGGGTGATGCTGCCTGTGACACAACCAACCCTTGGCTGAGACCGGTACCATGGTGGAATGCAGGCCTCAGTGTGCAGGTGGCTCCAGGGATGTGTTTGAGGGTGTTTAAATTCAGGGGAGGAGAGCTGATGCTTGGGGGTGGGAAAGACCACAGCCCCCAACAGTGAGGGCATCTGGGGGAGGTTGTTGGCAGCTCCATCCCCTCCCAACACAGAGGTGTACCTGGAGAAGTGGAGCCCACAGAGTGCCCTGGGCCAGCTCCAAGCCAAACTCGATGCCTCTGAGGCAGAGTCAGAGGTGAGTCAAGTGAGACCCATGTGTTGCTGCCCCTTCCTTGCCTGGACCCCAGATTCTTCTCTGTGCCCTGTGAAGAGGAGTCCAGGGGTGCTTAGCTATCTGGGCTCCGTCCATGGTCCCACAGCTCTCTTGGCTTGATACTGTCCCACTGCCCATCCCACAGGCACAGATAGAACAGTTCCTGGACCAGGACCTGCCCCTCGATTCCTTTCTGGAGTCTTTCTGCCAGAGTCGCACGCGCTCCCATGTCTGCCGGACGCAGCTGGAAAAACTGCAGGAGCTGCTGCTGAAGAACCAGGTGGGCTGGGACCCTGTGGGCCCAGTGGGGTGTCCAGGTGCCCTGGCTAGCCCAGCACCAGCTCGCCTTGCCCCGTTGCAGAGTGGAGTAGCCCCCAAAGCCTTTGATCTCTCCTACGGCTTTGTGCCTGCCTTTCTTATCCCGTCGGAGGCCGTTGTGCCCTTTGCCATGCCAGCTGCACCCCCCAGACACCATCTCCCAGCCCTGGGACACCAGCCAGCATCTCCCTCCTCTGAAATCCCCAGCCCGGTTTCACCCCTGTGCCTCATCAGACACCTCTCCCTGCTCAGCCCCCAGCCCTTTCGCAAGCAGCAGCGGCTGCAACACC